GGCCCTTTAGCCTCGTTTCAAAAGCGAGTCAGTCCTCACAGATTACCACATTAAAATGCTCAGCTTTACAGCAGAAATAATTATGTTTACAGCCTAGTACAAAACAGTTTTGTTCTCCATAGGTCATTTGTACATTCATGCAGCTGCACAAGGTGTGAGTTTGCTTATGACTCAACCGTTTAAGTGTTATTATGGTTATACATTAATGGAGGTATGAACATTTTGAGTGATGGATGTGTAAGCTGCTAGCTGTCTGCTACACATCCCCTCAGCTAATTTAATTAACTGAACAGGACTTTTCAACCTTGTTTGTCGTGTTGGCTTCTTTTAGAGTAATTTTAATGCAGTTATCTGACAAATAACTTAACTGATGTGCAGTTAGTTGTCTTTGCTCGAGCTTTTGTGAGTGTGTTTGCAGTGACTTAACACTAATTCCTCAGTTCACCTTTCCACTAATGATGGTCACATCTGGTTGCTGTTCAGCACCCTAAAATGAAACCTTGCACCCCAAAGGATGCACAGGTATGAGTCCTGAAACATCATCAAACACAATCTTATTTTCAGCACCTCAATCCTCAGACATGATAATGAACCACACCAGTGTGTTAGACTCCACTGTGTTGGATAGACCCCTGACTGAGGTTCTGTGATGACCTACTTAAAGCTGGCTGGCTGCAGATAGCAGCAGCAGCTCACGGACCGTCCACGGCCGTTGGGCTCACCGTGCACGTCCCAGCATGACGAAGAGAGTCTCCTCCGCAGGCGGGCATCAAATGATAAAAATAAATAGAAGCACAGAATCAACCCAGCAACACAGCTGTTATGTAATTCAAATGTTGCCCCAGTTACTCGCGAGAGCTGCTGCTGCAACTCTGGGCCATCACTGAGCTACATAACCTGATGCAGATTATATAGTCCAACCCAGACTGTTACATGAATAAAATGCTGATAACAGTGACTGTGACTCCACTCCTTGCACATGCATTTACAATACATCAAACACAAACATAATCAGAAAGACGGAAAAGCTCGAGCTCTGAACAGCTTTCAGCAAACAAACTCAGGAACATGAGTACGATGAAGAAACACGGCGCATATGTAACTGACATTCAAGCCCTCTGCTTGCCAAATTACCCACATTGACAGAAGCTAGGTCATGTAATCCATCCAAGAGGAGCAGACATAAATATTTTACCTGTTCCTCAGCTGACATATGGCATTTTGTCTTCATTTTTGTGTTGCTAGTGTGAACTGAAAAAGCCTTCAGGGGCGTCCCTCAAGTGGAAAATACATTTCATCATCACAGCAGGCCATAAAACTCAAGCTACTTTCTGCATGAAACATGGGTGTAATCTTACATAAAGGGGACAACTACTGGTCATCTCTCTGGGATTAATCTGCAGTCACACAACCAGTAGAGCCTGATTTTTCAAGTGACACAGAAGGACAACGAGGGCATGAACGCTCATGCCTGTCGTCTGACGGAATGTCAGAAACCGCCTCTTGTGTTTTCTCAGATGCCTGAAAAAATAAATGTATCGGAGCCTCATATCCTCCCAGGAAAAGGAGTGTTTACAGAACTTAGTGGGTTTATCTGTGCCAGGGCCAGCTGGGCCACAAGGGCCATGGACAGCATGTCCCGCATCAAGCACTGGAAGGATAAAGACGCAGGTCGGCCTCGAACTGACTGACTTTCAGTCGAACAAAGCCTCATTTAACTAAAGACATGACGGTGGGTCAATGGCAACGTGCAATATGTGCATATTTGAGTATCGAGCGACATAATAACCCTCTTCTTCAACTTCAAGATTTGCTCCACTTTTCATGGCATGGAATCAAATCTGCTGCAAACTGCCACCAGATCTACACTGGACCTTTACCAAAAATGCTCCAGGCGTCTACATGTCCCACTACTAAAGCAACCCAGTGCTCCTTCTGCTCCTGCTGCCCTGAGTAGGAATAAATCATTAGAGAGAGAAGGAAAGAGTTGAGTTGGAAAGAAGGAAACCAATAGGAGAAAACAAAGACACAAAGTGAGAGTGAAATTAACAACATACCAAAGGCAGAAAGAAGCCGATATATTTGATAAAAGAAAGGAGAAAGTAGGAAAAGGGAGAGAAAAAAATGCATGCATGGATAGTTGAGTGGACAAATGTGAGCATGTTGAATCATAAAGCCATATCACAAACATGACCCAGATTCAGGCTCACAGTAAATCAGGCCGCTGTGTGTCCAATTTAAGCAATTAAAGCCACAGTGTGTCTCACATCAGCCCGTATCGGCACGTCTGGAAGTTCTCTAAGGATCACACATTCAGCGAAAAACAGACATCATCCAGTCATCGTGTGCTGTGTCAAAGGAAGTTACATATTCACAAAGCTAAACCGCGGTGAATAAATGATAAACCAGGAAGTGTCTCGCCTTCCTAAGAGGATTTAAGTGTGTCACCACAGTGAATCTTCGACATCCTCAACTCTCAGTTTAAGAAGTAAATTACTGACAGACTCAAAGGTTAATGTCAGAGAAAATCAAGACCGTTTTCTGAGGAGCTACTTTTTCTTAATTGTCTAATTTACATCGTTGTATATCACATTCTTTCAGTCACAGATTTTCCTGCATTTCCTTGATTAGCAACAACGATCCAGTGAGGACAGTGACTGTGGACATCTGGATGTGAAGTGACTGTAAAGGTGCTGCTGGGGGAAAAACACCGACTGTTATGTAACGTCGTGTTAGATGTATTCATGGAGAGATAAAAAGTATGGAGGGCCATTTAGTTTAGTTTGGCATGAATAAAAATTTTTGAAAAAAGGAATTATTCATCTCATAATTTCATTTTTGTAACTTTTATTAAGGTTTTTTTTCTATATTTCTACATTTATTCGAGGTTATATTGTTTCTTTCAAACTTCTTTATTCATTTATTTATTTATTTTTAGTTACTTATGAATTTCCCATTTATTTATATATTCTTACAATATTTCGTTTGTTTAATTCTCAATTTTATTCATTTCTTTATCAATCTATGTACATTTCTCTAATTATTTCTATCAGTTTTTTATTTATCACTTATTCCATTCAATTTCTTTTTAAATTCCTCTCTATTTTTTACATTTCGAAATATTTTTCTTTTCTTTTTTATTATTGTTTTAAGTATTCATTTCCATTCTTCTATATTTAGATGCTACTAACAGTGAGCACACTAAAAGGGTCATTTTAGTCCGTTGCTAGGTGGTTGCTAGGCAACATGTTGACGTTAAAATATATCATACATAAGCCAAGTTTTGAACATATGAATTAGACTTTATTATTGTGAAGTTAAACACAACACTTTTATAAGGTTTTATAGTTGCACAAACACTAATAAAGGGTCATTTTAGCCCATCGGCAGGTGGTTGATAGGTAACATGACAATGTTACAAAATGTCATACATAAGTCAAGTTTTGCATATATAAATTAGATATAAATTACATATTACTATCATGGTGTGATGCAGCGCTTTTATAAGGTTTTGTAGCCTAAACACCAAAATTTGTAATTTAAGAGTAGCAGGTGGCACACATCACAATATGCGATATAGATAAGAACCTTCAGAGGTCTAGGATGTATTTCACACCTCAACTCCTTAACAGGTGAGAACAGTTTCGGGACAAACTTAAATTAAACCAAAGAAACAAACGTATACAAATAAATAAACTTTTTTTTTCTTCCAGGGTGTATTTATATTTACTTAAATTCTACTTATTTCTGTTTACACTTTCACCATTTCTTGTCGTCCAAAGAAAAGACTGTAAAACTACAGAAATCAATAGCATGTTCACTGGGTCTGCACTCGGTTTCTCCTGTACGGACTCTAAGGATTGAGGCTCTCTTGCAGGTCAGGAGTTGGTAAAGAAAGGTCAGCAGAAAGCTATAAAGTCAGGTCAAGTCAATAGAGTGTGTAAACATGTTTCGACTTCTTTAGAGACTGATGGTCTGTAACGCAGGCAACAAACTACAAATTAAACCCCTGACCTGCAGCATAAGCATGCATACGTTATTTAACGGCTTTACAGCGTTTAGCGGTGTGTTTTTTGTTTAATTGGTTAGTCACATGGAAAAACTGCAGCTTTAAACATTTGCCATTTCATTTGCAACAAACGTGTTCTTGATGACTTCATCACTTCCTATATCTTCATGCTATTTTAAGACTCTTTGATTTATTATTTCCTGCGCAGTGACCGTACTGTATGCACCGAAGGGAAGGGGAGGGTAAGCTTCTCTTCTCCCATGCAGACACAACACAGCAGCCAGTTAAAGGCTGCACTTGACATTCCAAAGAGGCTCTTTCGAGCAGATTCACCTTCAGTTAACCCTGAGACAAAACAAGTTTCCACTCCTGTGATTTGCAAGAGCAGCCGGGCATAGAGATAAGCCTGTCAGTCACCGGTGGGCAAAGAGTGTTTCACAAACAGTTGTGGCAGACTGTCCTTTCTCACTTCTGTTTGACACGTGGGTGTGTTTATGCACTTGGGGAAAAAAATGCTTAAATCTCGGTGTAGCTTTGACATTCTTGCAAGGTAATTCATCTCAGTCTGTAAAAGGCTTAACATCACATTTTTGTGCTCAACAGTGAATAAAAGAGGGTCATGAATGGGAAAGATTTGAAGACAGGAAATGAAACATTTTTCATTTGCACCAGATTGAATAAACAAAAACAGCAGGTATTTACCATGAGCACCGCCAACTGCTTCGTGGGAAATGCAGTCCAAACAAACCACAAGCAATGGTAGCATGGACCCAAAAGCAATACCCACACAAAACTCACTCACAAAGGTTTAACAGTGCGATTAAAGGAAAAAGCAGCCACTGCTTTGAAAATTGAGATATCAGCAAAAAAAATTTATTTCATGTGAATTTCCACTATAATCTTAGGCATTAGCCAATAAATACTGTCCACTTCCTGACCGAGTTAATAGTCTAACAAAATAACACACTGACGGTGTTTAGGAATGACTTACCAGTATGTTGCTGTCAAGAGACAATCTCTTTAACTGTTCTCTCCTCTCCAGCTGTCTGTTCATGCTTCCGCTGCCCTGCAGTGATCCATACACCTGGCCAGTCCTTCAGGGAGGGGAAAGGGGCGGAGTGGAGGACAAAAGGACAGTGAAAAAGTCAACAAGGAAAACCTCATATCAGGTGGGTCGCATTTCCTCTGTTACGAGGGCTTTCACCTTTTACAGTGAGATCAAAGTCCAAGTTAAGAGCTGCACAGTCCACACTATCCCTTCCCCCTTATTTGTGTAACGCTTCATTCGGTCTCTGTTGCCGTACCTTCAGCCAAAAGACTCACAGCTCACAGGACACTGGGATCACAGTGTTCCTGTTAGCCGTGTCTTACCGCTTGCTCTCGGCGTCACCCAGGCATCCCACCCTCTAACCCAACCCCAAACCCCAATCTACAGCTCTTTGTTTTTCTAGGCCTCTCCAAACAGCGCTGGGAACCAGTCCGACCTGGCCTGACTGAGGCCACAGCAGAAGATAAACACTTCACTTCACGCATACTACTCCTTTACAAAGAACTACGGTTTTACACTCACTGCGGTGGTGTACAGAGTAAGCATACCACTTCCTCATTGGTGAGCATGTGGTCAAAGGTCAGCTGTCGGATGCTTCGGGGTCAGAGACACTGTCAGTGCAACTCAACTTGCTCTAATGTTATGTAGTTAAGGCAAAGGTTTAAAATTAAACTAAAGAATACAGGTAATTATGTGGATTGCATTTCATGTAAAAAAAAAAAAAAAAAGATTAGCATTAAATGTAGTTATTAAATGTGTTATTAGTTATTAGTCTGCAGTGATGGATCTAAATCTCATTTAGATCTAGATCTACAGTCTCATTTATTACAAAAAAAACCCCTCTTAGCCATCTGTCTCACAGGCCTAAACACTAGTTGGCAACCCCCCAGCAAAATATAATCACTTAAGAAAAATGTGTGTTCTTCAACCGGTTGGTGACTATTCAATTCAATTCAATTCAATTCAATTTTATTTATATAGCGCCAAATCACAACAAAAGTCGCCTCAAGGCGCTTCATAGATACAGAGAAAAACCCAACAATCATATGACCCCCTATGAGCAAGCACTTTGGCGACAGTGGGAAGGAAAAACTCCCTTTTAACAGGAAGAAACCTCCAGCAGAACCAGGCTCAGGGAGGGGCGGCCATCTGCTGCGACCGGTTGGGGTGAGAGAAGGAAGACAGGATAAAAGACATGCTGTGGAAGAAGTTACTGGAGCTTTTGCTAGCTGAAATCAGTCCCAAAGAAGGTGTTGCAGCAAAAACCTTGTGATTGCTTTAATTGCAAACTGATTTTCAAGGTTACCCATAGTTTGCATGAAAGACGCCAACTTGTCTTTAAATGCTCACCATTTACTTGCCAAGCATTGGCAAAACTATGATAAGTGTATTTGCAGATAAGTTAGTTTCTTACATACAATCTAGAGGCAATTGCAGGAACCTACTAATTAACTGTATTAATTCTATTATTAAAGATTAGGCTTTATCATTAGAACCTATTAGCTAATAAGGAAAGTCTTTGCTGAGGCCATAAATAATGTGAGAAGTAGGGTTGTTTTCTCATAGACTTTTATGCAACATTAGGCCATTAGGAAAACTGGAATTTAAAGTTGCAACCTGGTTTCAGGTTGCATTCATCTTTTCTATGCCCACAGTGACTGCAACTCTGATATGGTTTAGATAATTTAGCATTTAATAAGGTTTACAATTACTGATCAAATCAGCTACAGGGGGTTTTGGGGGAAGCCCCGTATACCTCTTTGTGACCAGTTTCATGCCAGCAATCTACAGCAACCACTCACCAACTGGTTAGGAAATTCACATTTTTCCATCACAAACAGAGGTCGCCAAATGACTGAGGCCTTGTAATATGGCCACCCTGTGTTAAACAAGCTGCTTTCCAATTCTGTGAGCATGCAGTGTCCTTGGTTTTCAATCAAATAGCTGATAGCTAAAAGGTTCAACTCAAAACCTGAGAAGTAGCTAAAAAGTGGTGACACAATGGTTAAGTCTACCTTTTACATGGTGGCTTTGGTTTAGATCATAGTTAATATCACACTTGAGAAGTTCAGAATAGGCAGAACTTGGAAAAGGCATTTATGAAATTTATAAGCTAAACCTACAGTCCTGCTCTGTATCACGATTTACTAGGTTCAGAATTTAGGTGATATGTGCTTACCCTCCTCACAAACCTACTTATGCAACAAACAAACCCTTTTGCATCCACTGCAGGCGCTATCCGTTACACCCTGTCTAAAGCTTCAGCAGCATGACTGCACTTGTCAAATATGCCCACACATCAACATGACATGTTCCATCCACTGCCAATCTGTTAAGTCCAAACTTATCGACATGAAACATCAGGATCAGCCGCTGCCTTTTCATCCAGATCTGATCTTATATTTTGAAACATGATACTGTCCCTTTCTGCCCTATTTCTGAACAGCCCTGGGCAATCAAGTGTAGCAGGAATTTGTCTAATCAGCAAACAGGATGTGAAATGCTCTGTCTTTAATGACACAGAAACATCGGACTCCTGACCGTCTCACTTACTCTGGCTTTGTAATGACTAATTGTGAAAGTGTTTTGCAACAGATGAAATGATGGTCTATGTTTAGCATGCATTTTAGTTTGGTCTATTTTCCCCTGGAGATTAGGAGAGGAAGTAAATCTTCCCTTGGATTCAGAGATAGGGGGTTATAGGAAATTGAGAGTAAATGATTAAAATGGATTACAGCACAGCGCTTGATTACACAGACCCAACACAGAAACCATGGATGGCATTTTCCTTTGGGTGTACAGTGTGAGGGATGAGGCAGTGGATCGATGGGAAGTGATTAAGATGAAACAAACACCTTACAAGCCACATATCAGGGACATTGAGATAAAGGCAGGCAATAAAACACTGGAACACTGCACCTTTGAACAAACCGAATGATGCTTTGTCTTAGTGCTGTCAGTTGCCCTTAGTACCAGGTAACATCCAGTAACAGCTCACAGAACAAAATAGATCAAAAAAGCATATTTAACACTGATAACAAGAGAAAGTGGAACATTTTTACAATATATACAGTTATAAAGTTAAGCACATAAACACAAGTCAGGGGCTGTACAATTAACTGAATTTAGTCTAGATCATTTTCTGGCTTCTTACTTACATTTAAAAGCCAGTGGAAACCTTTTAAGCGATGAGGACATGTACATTGTGGACAGGAATGCTGGTTTGAGTGGGAAGTCATCAAGACCATTTATGTGAAAGGGGGACAACCATCTCTGAACTGAGGAGGGGGCTTAAGAGTACATCTTTCACCATCTGACAATGTTGTGATTGCAGCCATTCCCCAACTCTCTGTGAATGGTACTCATGGTCATTGATCAATTGTCATGAGCGCTTGCATATCAATGATCATGTAACTGACCTTAAAGCCCAGTGTTCATTCAGTGGCTCTAGTTTCAGTCATTACGCAAAAGTACTGTTTATAAGGTTGGAGAAACCTGCAGGCAGCTGAGACTGAAGAAGTCACTTAGATGAGTGACGAAACCTTTCTCCCACTGAAAACACTACGTCCAGATAAACAGAATGAACTTTCTGGTATTTCGTCACCTGCATGATTGAGCATGCATCACAACAATTTTTGGCTTTGATCAAAACAGTTGAGCAACACTGCAAGTTTGCAAAGCAAAGGCAAATCACACTAAACTTGTAAGCTCTTGTAGGGATGTGTGTGTGTGTGATTGTGGGGCTTGTAGTGAAAAAGTGCTACATAACAACAGGTTCATGTATCAACACTGGAAATTCTTTAGGTAAGGTTTTAGTATACGGCCCGCAACTAAGACCCCTTACTCACGCAACTTGCATTGTCAGACATTCCTCTGTCGCTCCTTTTTTTTAAATATGTGAACAGAACAAGCTGCTTTGATGAGGCTGTGACAGGATATGTTTTCTGTTTGTGTGATCTAGATTTTACAGCATTACACAGCTATCACAAGGAAGACGAGTTAGTCTGTAATTGCTTTGGTTTGTCTCGTCGGCACTTCTTAAAGAGTAATAGTTGGCGATGAAGTGTGAAATACTTCCAAGCCTTGATGATAGAGTGTAATCCTGGGCTCTACAGTAAAGAACTAATCAATATCTCATCCATTAAGCGTTCACTGGGCAGATGTGGTGATCATGGAAGCATGGAAATCTGATTGCTGCTGAAAGTTACGGCCGTGGCCGCCATCTGTAAAAGTCAAAGCCATGGCCAATTTTCCTCAGACGACAGACTTGTTGACTGTCGACCGATCGTTCGTATTTCTCGGTTGCTTGGTTTTAAAGGAAATGAAACACTTAGGGGCTGTTGGCCATGATGAATGCTCTTTTAAATAGGGATTGACAAACAGTAGTTTTGGACGAGCTATTAGAGATACAGACAATAGAGTAACTCAGTCTCCATCTACATAATGTGATTTTCTCCTGCGTTTAGCTGAAGTTATACTTCATATTCCAAGAACTGACACCACTTTGCAAGCATTTATGACAATCCAGGGGCCTCTCTGCAACTGTCCCGCCTCCCTCCTCATTCCCCGTGATTTACACCTAAAGCAATTACTGATATGTTAAACTGGACTAGTGTTGACCTACACAAACTGACACGCGTCAACGCCTATAGTCCACACGGCCCCCAGCCAGTCGGCAACCAAGGCAGTGGGATGGAAAGGATATAATCAAAGGAGGCCAGGAGGACGCTGACATCTGGGAGTCTTTGTGCTGTAGGCCTAATTAGATGCCAGGGTGAGGGAAGGAGGGAGGAAAGGCAGGATGGTGTGTGTGCATGTGTGTGTTTCTGTACAACACAAAATGGGGGTTGTTTGAGGTGGGAGTCGTTTTTTAACATCTGCTCCAGGAACAAGAGAGGACCCAGCTGAAGTCACAGAGCCCCAGACAGCTCTGAAACTACAACAGGGATAATGTGAGGGGATAACAGCTTAATGATAACACTTAAACCCATTGAGAGATCGCTGTACAGAAAACAGCCTCATGGATAAATGGCAATAACAAGCCCA